CACAGTTAGTGCAAAAGGGGATCTCTTGCTTTCTAAAATGGGTGGCAGGTGTGGAATAATTATTTTCCTGTGCATTTTATTGTTTGGGGAGGGGAGTTCATTTGTGGAGGTTTTTATGATTTTCATAATTTTTTTAAAATTCTTATTACTCAGGTATTTTGATTAGTTTTATTTGGCTGCAAATGGAGGAAATAAAGCATGCCAGATTTCTATTCCATCAAGAATATAGAACTTTATAGTTATCATTTCAACTTTTCACTACCATTTCCTCTCTCTTCTCCATTCAGGAAGCTTCTGATTTTCAAAGTGTCAAATCTTAGAAGAAGATGATTATGATAAATTCTGAACTGGCCAAACAAACTGAAGAAATACTTTAATTCCATATATTGATTCTAATGTTCTTCTGGTCAGATTTTTCACAGTTTATCCATAACCCCACTTAGCCTTGACCACCAGTTCTGATATTGCACCACTGGCCGATGTCAGCATCAGTGAAACATTGTAATAGTGGTCAGTGGAATTGATCTTTTGAATCTGGACAGAGTGAAGGAACAATGTGGGATGAGCTATGGTTATTGAGGTCAGAAAAAAGAAGCTAAGGAAGAGGTATTAGAGTGTGCTTCAGTAACTGAGCCAAAAACAAAAGAGAAAAAGAGAAAAGCGATGGTTTCCAGATGTCAGCATTCAGGAAAAGGGAAGCCAAAAGAAAGCAGGTCAGCATGTTTGGGGGATGGAGGTAAACAGGGATTTTTCAGTATTGATTTTGGTGTATAAGAAGTGACCAGTCATGAGGCTGATGTGGCAAGCAGGTGATAATAGAGAAGTACAAGACTGAATAGGACAGGCACAATGTAGAAAATCATTACATTATTAACTTAAAACCGTCACTACATGGTGGCTGCTGGGAAAATTTCCTTTGTTCTGTGCTGCCTGTCTAAAGCTGATCCATCTTGTTTTTAAAGTGCACTTGCCTCCTTTGTTATCACCATATTGGCATAATGTGTGTTGTAAAGTGACATTAGTGACAGAACTGCCAAATCAGGGAGTTTTCTATTTTAAAATATGCATCTGATATATAAAGAAAGTATGGCAAATGCTAGGTTCCTTTCTGATTGAGATTTTTGGGACAAAATGTGATTTTGCTATTAAACACCAATTGATCGAAGTAAACCAATTTTTTTTAAAGTGCATTGAAATTCTGTCTCAATGCTGATTGCCTTCTGTCAGAAATCTGCGTAGTTTTCTCTAGATTTTCTGTAGGACCAAAAAGTCTGGGGATATTCTTTGTCAATGGGATGGAAACCATTAATAGGACAAAAAAAATTTCAAGTAACTCTAGTGTTTATGAAATGAGCAGAATTACAGTTTCTGAAAAACATCAGAAAAGTCCATTTTATATTCAACTAGCATAAGATCAAATTCCAGGTGTTGAATTAGAATTAGAATCTGAATTAATCTGAATTAGAAAACAATAGGTCATATTTTTGTTCTTTATTTATATACAGAAAAGATGCCCTCCGACTTCTAAATGCTTTCTTAACATTCCTTTCCTAAAGTGTGACATTTGAGTTGCTTACCTTTTCTCTGCTGACCTATTTAAAATGATGAGTTAAATTTGGTATATTGTGGGTTTTATTTCTAATTAGCTGGGATGTAATCACTCCTTGAACAAATCTCATCAAATGACTTGGGACTGAGTTGCATTTAGCTTGAACAAACAGAATAAATCTGTGTCTCTGATTTCATTCATTCATTTTGATCATCCCCTTTACCTGAATTCAGTGCCAGTTTCACATATTGAAATACTCTTTAATTTCTCAGTGAAAGGCTGCTCAGCTCAAGTGTGATGGAAAATAAAGCACTGAAGTCTGAAATAGACATGGGTGGGAATTCTAAACCTGTTCACCCCTGAAGTTTCTGGGTTAGAAAAACACTTGAACTGGGTTGAGTCACCAGCAGAGATCCCAAACTGTTACTGCAGTGTCTGCTCAAGTGGGAGTGAGGTCTCTGGCACTTCACAGAGTGTCTGCCTGGTGTGTACAGAGGGAGCTGTAGTCAGTCCTTCCAGGAGAAGTCTTTCATTCCCAGTGTCCCCTGGCCAGCCAGTCAATATCCACTCTGGGCAGCCAGAGCCAGGCAGTTGTTTGTAACCACAGCAGTGCCTCTAACTGAGCAGCAGACCCCAAAGGAACAGCATCAGGGACTTGGTTCATCCAGAACTGTACCTGATGGCATACAAGAGCACAAACCCATTAATGGCTCTGCTCAGCACTGTGGAAATACTGCCCCACTGTACGTATTTGTCTTAAGAGCACTTAGAAATTCCAACTGTACAATAATGTGTGTCTGTTCTAAGGCTTTTGTGTGTGAGACTGCTTTGTCCTCACCAAATGAATGAACAATTATGGTCTCCAAAGACGGTTTAGAGAGAGATACAATATTAGATGAGATTGGAAATAATATATTGGTAGTGAAGGATATTGAATTACTCAGGTTGACTCCCGGAGTGTACTCCTGCATTTCTGCATAATGATTTTGGCCATTATAATGAAATAGTATATTAAGGGAATAAAAGATTGTCAATAAGATATTTAAGCTTCCACTACTGAATGTAAAATACTTACATTTTACCATTTAATAGCAACTAAGATGTCTCACCTTATCAAACTGCAATAGCTTAGGAGAAAAACTGTTCCTCCAGTGTTGTATACCAGCCCTAAGGTGAAGGTAGGGTTAAATTTCACTGTCTAATGCACATTTGTTCTCATCGTAAAGCTAATCTTGTAATTTCTCACAAGACTGGCAATCTTGGGAGAAATGAGCTAGTACTGAGGTTAAATTACCTCTTACCCTAAAGGAGGCAAAGGATATTCTTGGATGAATGGCTCAGCATGATACACATTATAGATAACTAAGGTGTTGCATAATGCAAGTCTTGGCTTTTGGCTGTAGAAAGAGCTTTAGGCCTGTTTTTAGTAGCATATCTGTCTGAAAAATAATTCAAGGCTTTTTTGGAATAATTCAGTTTTATTGAAAGTCTTTAAAATTGTACTATCTCATTTTGTATTGTCTGTTGATTACTGATCTCAGAGTTTTCAGTATTGGCTGGAGCTATTAAAGCAGTCACTTTCTGGCAGAAAAATGTACAGTGCTGGCTTTTTTGATGAAATGTGCAGGATACTGGAACTTAAGTAATGTGGGTTTTTTTAATGTACATGACTATAAACACTTTTTTCTCAGCATAGCATTGAGGCTAAGATTTTTAAAGCCTTTTTGTCAATGCTTAAAGACAAGAAACTGAAATATTTTCAGCACTCACTTTAATATTAATTATTGAAATGAATTAATCTCAGATGTAGATATAGCCTACACATTTGTTCAGAACAAATTTTGCAATCTGGTTTTGATTGTTTCCTGACAACACCGATTCTTCTTTTCTGCAACAGACTAAATTATAATAAAATATAGAGCCATAGAAGGGGTTGAAAAATAATTGTGGAATAACTTATTTAATGCTGGTTACAATTACTTTTATCTCATAATAAATTATTTTTCATAATTTTCACCTGTTCTACATGAGAGCAACAAGAAATGGCAAGCTCAGCAGAAAGTAAGGAAATTACAATGTATGAGTGATTATTAAAAGTGTCAAGAAAGGGAAGTATTTAGAGGAAAAGTCTGAACTGTAAGAAACTAAATAGTTCAAATAGTCCAGTGTTTCTTGAGTGTGCAATATCCCTTCATTTGTCAGTAGTGCAGAGTTAAGGAGAGAGATTCACTTTACTCAGTACTCTTTGACATATCTGTGAAAATTGAACAAATTCAGCACATTTTTTGGACATGTTTTGATTGGAGGTTGAAAACGTGGCACCCAAAATAGCAGAGAATTTAACAGAGAGGCAAGACAACTGGGGAAGGTAACCAGTGAAATTATAACTTCATAAAATGGAGTGTAGCTGATAACAAGGTGTTATGTTGTTGGCAGTCACAGATATGAACAACTTCTGTAGGAATGTATAGAAGCTTTCAATAAAAATAATGGTTTCTGTAAATAAAGGACTTGGGATATATTCAGAAAATATTATGAATTGGAAGGGACTCACAAAGGATCCTCAGAGCTCAGCTCTAAATCTGTTGAGCTTGATTTTAATCTCTTGGTTAGTTCTGAATCCCTTCTGGATTATCCTTAACTGCAGGTATATATTAAAGTTGATGCTGATCTATGGCTTTATGTTGATATGAAACTTTGATACTTCTTGAGAAGCCATAGGAAAACAAGTCCATTTCAGTATGTAGTACTGAGATGAATTTTGGGGCTAGTAGCAGCCCATATAAAATTTAGACTTTAATTTTTTTTGTTAAGAAAAAAAATAATTATAATGGTAGTGAAATGACAGCAAACTCAGTGAAAACAATAAACAGATATTTGTGTGTGCACCTTACAGTTACCCAGAAAAGAAGACAGAATAACTTAATTTAGACAAAAGCTGTCACTATACATCTTCAGTGGCAGAAAAAAATGTCTTTAACAGAAGAATAACCATTCAGCATATGAAGAATATAGAAGGCAAAATACAAAGAGAGAGGAAAGGGAGAAAGCAGAAGTTTTCTGCCCTAAATCCCTCAGTGATCCCCATTCTCACTGAGGGGAGAAAGGGAGGGGGCAAAGGGAAGGTGAGGGTCAGCCCCAAATGCATGATTTCCTTCTTGGTACCTACTGAATGAAACTGACAGGCTTTCCTACATGATTTATTTTGAAAGAATCTGCTTATTAAGAGTAACTACTAACAATAGTTATATTTACAATATAATTTACAATAGTAACTATTAGCACAAGTTCCACTCCAAGATACAAAACATCATTAAAGTTCTGAGATAGACTCATTAGCACCTGATTTTCCAATCGTATTCTGAGACTGAAATAGACTGAGCTTGGACTTACAGTCCTTTTTGATTGTATTTTTAAAATATTTTAATCAGTTGTCTTACTTTCTGTATAGGGAGAGGTTGGCTTCTGTGGCATCTGTTACGGAGTGAAACTATGAATTTCAAACATCACTTCCAGCATCTGGGCTTCATGCATATGTGTGCTGAGTGAGGTAAAGAATACCTTCAAATTACTCTCTTAATTGCTGTATTTAGGTGCTCAAAGAAATGGCTGAAGAACGAATTCTTGATAATATTTGGACAAAGATAAACAGATAAAGGTAATAAACAGTTAAAAGGTAATAATAACAATGATCAGGAAAGTTCAAGAAATTATTGTCCTCAAGAAGAATAGGTTTTATGGAGATGCTGACATCATTATTCTTATTCTGAGAGTTGTCTGTGTCATTGTGTACTGTTAATATGAGTAAGTGAAAACTCCTTCAGCAGTATGTCCATCTGTGCTGGGTCTGTTTTCCGAAGAAGTGGGTATGTGAAAATCAACCTTCTCAAACGAGGAATCAGTTTCATATTATTGCCATTTTTTCTCCTCCAGTTTTTGATAACTTCAGGGATGTTTCTGATTTCTGCCACCTGCAGTAGCAGAACTGGCAGCAAAGGGAAGTGCCAGGGACCCCCATCACAACGTTCATGTCTTCAGACATGAGAAGGACCATTAAATTTAGAACTCCTCCACACCCGCTTTAGATGTGTCACCTCTTGAACTGCCTGATAAGGTGATTGCATGGGCAATTCAAAAATAGCTGCCCTACCCTGCAACCCCATTTCCAGAGGAGCCATGTTTTCAGAACAGTTTCACTTACTCTCTGCAAATCTCTGCCTTGCTCTCTAATTTAAAAAGATATTCTTTGTGTCTGCCACCTCCCTGCTAAATGTAGATTGTGTGTCAGGGGGCTGACACACAAAAGGCCTCAATCTCCTAAGAAGCTGCCACCAGAACACCTAATAGACTGTCAGTTTGAATGTTTAAATGAGACACAGCAAGGGAAGGAATAATGCTTTTAACAAAAGAGTGGTGGGTAGGCTAGGGAAAAAAAGCTCAGCTCCACTGACAAGGTGACTGGAAATGTAGTACTTGCAGCGGAAGGGAGATATTGATGAAAGTAACAGGTGAAAAATGGTGCTCAAACTTGGGCTGCTAAGGGGAAATAGAGCAAGCATTTATGGCTGTAGAGAGAAGCAGGTAAGGAGTCAGGTTAGGACTAGAAGATTGGCTCCTTTGTAGGATGCTGTGCTGCCATCTCCCTCTGTGACAAGTGGTACTTTCAAGCTATGTCTCTGTATGTAATACAGATTTGGGCCTGACTGAGCCCTGAAAATTAGTGTTTGTACATCCTGTTTGTTTTAAACCATTTCAGGGAGCTACATCTTTGAAACAATGCGTGACATTATTTAGCTTAGGGATTAAGAACTGAATTCCCGCATGTCAGCAGCATCTCAAATTGCCACGCTCACAAAGGGAATGTGGAAGGACAGAAATTGCAGGAGTTTTGCTCTGTGTTGTGCAAGTGATGTGTTTGAACACTGCCACTATGAAAACACATTTACTTTGGCACACACTCTAACCAAAGACTCTTCTGCTTTCTTCAGGAAAGATGGAAAGAAGAGCTCTGCTCCCTCCTGTGACAGTAAAATAACTTTCTGGTGTTTGGATTTATTCTGTGATGGTCTTCCATGGAAATATGTCTGTCTTTTGAGTGTCTGTCTTTTTGAGTGATGCAAAAAAGAAGTTATTACAAGTCAGTCACTGTCTCTTTCTCCTTAGTCCTGACTGCTGGATCCACTCATGCCTTTGGCTACCTGTTTTGCCAATAATTTTCCAGTTAACAGGTGGCAAGGCCCATGTTGCGGGATGTTATTAAATGGTTTTCCAGATGGTTGTAATATTGTATCTTTAAATAAAAGTACACAAGCTTAGTGGCAGGATCTTATTTATGGAATGCTTTTGGCTCCTGAACTGCTTGTTGAAATTGTTGTGAGCCATTTGGTCACTGGGAAGTAATTGTGTATTACTGTAGACAACAAGCTGTTTGCATTAATTAGCAATCAGAGCATATTGCCAAATGGGGAATAACATGTCTTTGACATCTCTGCAGATCCTGGTAACTGAGGCGGTGCAGACCCATGGATTGTCCTTTGCTGCATGTTTATAGTGTGAACTTCCAGTCCATCTGCCCATACAGCCATCTGCAAAAACACCAGGGACACAGCTGGGAGAAATAAAAGCTAAGGTAGAGGAAACAGCATGTGAAAGTACAAAGAGTTTGTAAAATGTCATTGTTTTTTGCAGCAAAAGTAACTTCTGTGATCATTTCATGTGGCTTCCAAACATGGGAAGTGGTGAATGTTGTCTTGGTCACATGTGCCATTTTCACCAGCTAAGGCAGAGTTGTAGTAAATTGATCAGAGGCACCTTAAACCAGCCTTAGGAGGCACAGTACAGTGTGATAGAGGAGGGACAACCTTCTGAACACAGCTCAGGAATCCTCCTTGGATGAGGTCATGGGTGGGCCAGATCTCATGAATTAAACTCAGGAAGAATTCTGGCCATTCTCTGTCTCTCCTACTGCACTTTTGATGGCATAGACAGGGGTACATTTGGATGTAGAAGGTGCCCTTAGCTGAACAGCTAGGTATGATATACTTCTATCCTTTTTTGCTGGGTTTTGGGGGTTTTATTAAAAATAGTTGAAATATCATGAAAATATGGTAAAAACTTCAAGAGAGCAGGAACTTTGTTCCAAGTGAAAAAAGAAGGGTGACGATAAAAAAGATATTTCTATAGAATTGACACTAAAGTAACATTGGGGGGATTTTCCCCTTTTGGCCAGTCAACTTGAATCTTCTTTTGAAAAATAATATACAGTATCAACTGCATCCTAAATAGAAATTGTTGTGATATGCACTAAGAAAATCTTGAGATTCGTAGTATTTCCTGTGTAGCATTGTTTTCATTCCTCAAGGCTTTTTGAAAATGTTTTCCTTAGTGGGAAGGTTCCATGTAAAAAATTAGGAATAAAGAACCCAGAATAGTCTGGACCCAGAGGAAGAAACATTCATGGGGGAGTATGAACTGTGGGTTTAAAATTTTAGAACTCTGGCTCTTCATATTCCTCCTTGCTTGGAAGTCATAGCTGGATTTTTGATGACCTCTGAAGTTTTTTTTGACAAAGGTGATCAGGAAAAATTAACTTTTTCAGGATTTTTTTTTTTTAGGGAAAATTAACTGCATGCTGCATATATTTGTATTTTAAAATCAAATTAATTTTATAGGCATAAGGTGGTTTTAAGAATTACCTTCCTGGACCTCAAATAATATGTGCATGTGTCTCTGAAAACTCTCGTGCTGCTGTAGTGGATTGGCATCATTTTCTCTCTGTGTTTTGTAGTGCAAGTGATAAAACCAGTTTTGACTCCAGTGTGCAGATTTGTACCCCCTGAGCTAGGAAACGTGGATGTTTGAAATCCAGCAGCAGTTCCTGCCTCTCTTGTGTTATGTAGAGAGCAAAGGCACAGTGGGAGAGAGGAAGGAAAAATACATTCAGGTACAGGTCAGTGCTTTGCATTTTGACTTTTTTTGCAGGAATGCTTGTACTGCGAAATGCATTTTTTCACTTATCCTGTGCTTAAGAATTAGAGATGTTTGCTACTAAAATGCCAGGTTCTCTGAGTTATTAAGCACAGTATAATGAACCCATTGCAGAAAATAACTAGAATGTGATCTATGTCTGCAGAGGAAGGTAAGGAGCAAAACACATTAAAAAATAAATTAATGTAATGCAAAATAACCTTAGTTCCACTGCACGGAAATTTATAATTGCACTGATCTTGTTAAGCTGCTCTTCCAGAAGATGCTGCACTTTCTGTGCAGAAGTACAGTATGATGATGGGTGTCATTCAAAATTAGGATCTTTCACATTCAGAGTGTTTGGCATGTACAGGTAGAGATATTTCAATGAAGCAAGATATCATCTAGACAGGAACTCTTAACAAACAATTCCCACCAGAGGCTTGGGGATGTAGTTTTCTAGTGCTTCTAGGTTCTGGCTGTTTTATTTAATTTTTTCTTCTCTAAGATGTATTGCTTTTTGCTTACTTTCAAAAGGCAGTGCACTGACATAATCTTTTAGGATCTCATTCACAGCTCCAGGGTTACACTGGAGGTCAGGGCTGCATTCTCAGCTCCTGGTGGCTTGATATGAATAAATTGATTTTGAAATAACTAAATAAATTTCTGTGATAGAATAAGCAAAGATAAAGCATTTTCACCAAAAGGTTCAAAGCTAGCATAATTGGCCAATAAATAAATAAAAATCTCTTTGCTGTCTTTCAGAATAGCATCTTTCACACAATGTTTTTCACAGCTGCAGAGTTCACTGGCCTTAGCCACGTGTGACTTTAGTTACCCAACTGACACTTGTGACTCCTTCTTGGAGTTTCCAGGGGAAGCTGATGTCCTGTGTGCTCCCTAAGGAAAATGTAACTGTGAGCAGAGGAACAGTGTATGGTGATGGAGATCATCTGAGGGGGCTTTGTCATGGGCTCAGGTAACTCTCTTGCCTGTGCAGGGAGATGTACAAAGCCCTGTGTAATCCCTGGAGTGAAAGCAGGTTGGATAAGTGTGTGAGAGGCAGCTGAGCAGCTCCTCACTGCAGGGGCTGCAGAATGAGAGCAGGAGCTGCACGTGGAGAACACAAAGGGAGGGCACTGGAGTGGGCACATGGCTGACATGGACCTCAGCCCTGGCTGGGCTGTTGTGTTTGCAGGAGCTGGAGCAGTGGCAGCCTGGCCTTGGGTGGGAAGCAGCACTGGGACATTTGTGTGCACATTTGGATCAGTCCTGCCCTGGCACTGCAGACACTCATGGGAACATTTTTCAGAATGACTTCATTTGATCTCTTCTGTAATATGACCTGAATTAAAGGGGGCAGGGAGTGAAAAAAATGGATTTTAAAAAGCTTCCATTGCAAGTAAACTGGACTTTCAATTTTTGGTCAAAGGAAAATTTTTAGGTCGTGTTTCACTAAATTTGACTGCACTCCTTTTTTTCCAAAACCATGTTTATTTGCATGGAAGCTGAGCTGTGAAAGGGGAAGGTGTGCCTGAGAATGAAATTGAGCAAGATGCTTTCAGCTTGCCTGGCTTTGATTACTTGTCAGGAGCAAGTGTTGCTCTGTTACTGAACTGGTTAGTGTAACACCATTCTGCTTTTCCTCAAAAAACTCCATCAGATGGAGTCTGATTTCCCCTTGGATGAAAGCCCCAGGGCTAGGCAGGGGTGCCCCTGCTACCTCTTGGTCTGTGATGTGGTTTCAATTTTGCTTTTCAACCTAGAATGATATCTTAGTATCTTAGTCTTGTATCAGTGTAGTGTATTAATCCCATATAAATCTTCTTGGTATGGTTCCTCAGACCTGAAGACTTAGCCTTAAAAAATTCATTTAGTAGTTATTTCATAAAACCAATGCCTGCATACTTTTGTTCCCCTTTGTGTTTTTCTTGTCACACTTCATTGAGGTGAAAACAATTTATTTGCTTCTCTTGCCAGGATATGTCAATCTGACAGTGAAAATAAGATGTCATTTTCAGTGTCTCATCTGATCAACAACATAGACAGCCATCAACAAAATATTTACATTTTTCAGTGATGATTATGGATGAGAATGCATAAATCAAGTTTGTTTTACATTTTATAATCTACATTGACACATGTGAATTGATTCTGAAGTTTCATTAGGACTAGAAAGTGCCAAAATGATTCAGTGAACGTTAAGCATGTCAATAACCAATGAAAACAGTCAAAATCAAGGCTATTCCTCCTTATATATTTTTTCTTTACTAGTTTTCAGTTTATTCTTGCCAGTAGCTTCCATTGATATTAGTTGTAAATGAAGGTAAAATGTTCTAGTTATTGCTTGTAACTTTTTGCTTATAATCTAAATTTCTGCATTAGGCATATTACCAGAGATTTGCTGATAGGCAAAGTTAAATCTGCTTTTAGTTTTTAATTTATTTTTTAATGTCTAGCCAATTTATATATTATCTACAGTTTTGCATTTATCTGTAATTTCCAGTAAGATAAGTCATGCTCTTAATTCTTTTATTTGATATCTTCTTGCCTCCTAAATATCTGAAAACTTTGATTTGAGACCAAGTGTCTCTTTAGATGTATACTCTGCCAGATATTGAGTCATTAGACACTCCTGAGAACTTTGGTGATTGCAATGTTGTCAATTGCCTTTAAACTTTCTATATGTTTTTATAATTCTCATGTGTTCTCACAGGTGCTCTAACAGCCTTGGGTCCTTTCTCAATAACCTATACAGACATAATTATAGAATAGCCAAAAAGAACATAATAAGAGGAAATCAAATACCACACATGTGTCTTAAAAATTCCTTAGGGATTATTCAATCACTGCAGCCCCTTATGTGAGGAAACAAGCAAGCTGCCTCATAAGCCAGCTCAGTTTTTAAACTGGGGGATGGAAGTTCTTTCCCACAACAGAAAAGAGCAGTTTTCAAGTCCTGGTGTGATGGGGATGTGGTGCAGCAAACACAGACAGTAAGAGTGGCCATCCATCATTTGACACACTAATCTGTTGGTCTTGCAGGGCTTATAGAAAAGCAAACCGAGGTGGGGAAAAGTTATTACTTTATACATTAAAAGTGCCAGTGTAAGTTTTACTTCTGTTAGGTTTTTTTACCATCTATTTTGATGCCTGAGTTGAAAGTGTTGTGCAAATATCCAGGCAAGACAGAACAGCAGCTCCTTGTTTCTACTGCTGGGAAAGCCCAAACGGTGCAGTTACACTTGTGCTGAATCTGTGAGCAGTCCATGACACAGATGTAAGGTCTCACTCCAGTGTGACTTGGGTAACTCTACTCAAGTGCTGTCATCTCTGCTTTACATACCCAGTGCAGTGGGCTGAGACTTCCATGGGTTTGGAACAGCCTCATGGATGCAGAAGTCCATCTGCATAAATGGATCCCAGTTTGGTTTCCTTAAATGTTCCTAGTGTTTCTCAGAAAGAGCATGATCTCTATGCTCCCAGATACTCTAAAATGCTTTGAGTATTGTTTTAACAACTTTTCTGAACAGACAACCTTTCCTACCCTGGAAACTTAATAAGCAAATACATGGGATCTGAATCTGGCATTCCCAGTACCCAAATGGTAACACACAGTGACCAGAAAAGTGCTAATTTCTGTAGGCAACAGGCTTGTATACAGCATGAAATGAAGTATTAAACATTCTTCCAAGCTGGTGACCTTTTACACTGGGGAGGGAAGATGTAAAACCTGACATTTTTTCACTGATCACCTTTCAAAAGAATAAAAAACCCCACCTTTAATCAGTGAGTAAGAAATGCTCTTTTTTGGTTTTGAAATTTTCTACGATTGATTGCACACACTAACTTAGAAAAATTGCCACAGACTCATAATGACAGGTTTTATCTGAAATTATATAAAATTGGTTTCAGTATTTATTTTTTTTTTTTAAAGAAGAGCTTGTATAAAGGTTTCATTGTCTTTAGGTAGAAGTGAGTTACTCCTCAGTGTGGGTAATTGTACCTGGTAGTCATTGTTAAGGAAAGAAAAAATGCCTCCAGTGTCTTTTGGTCTCAGTTCTTCCTTCAGTGTGCCCCCTCACTGCTTCCTTTTTCAGACAGTGCTGTGTTTAGCATGGAAACACAGCCACAGTACCAGGATGCCCAACATGTGTCAGTTTTATAAAGCCTAATTCACGAGCAGTGCTGAAACCCACGTTGTTGAAGGGCATAAACACAGAGAGCTAATATTCTTCAGGCAAATCCAAAGTTATTTTGATATAAGACAACTTCTGGCAGGTTACCTTCTGTCCTTCCTGCAGTAAAATAATGGCTTTTGTCACTTGTTTTTAATTTCAAACTGATGTGCTGGAAGTATCTATTTCAAAGATGAAGGAAAAGTAAGACAAAAAGAGATTGTTACTTTCCCCAAATCAGTTTGATTTCTGTCATTACAAAACAATACCTTTCCAGCAGATGTCTTTGAATACCAGCCAGCACTATGACAGATAACTTATAGCTGCTCTGATTATTCATGCAGATATCAGCAGGTTATTCCAAAAGGGCTTTATTTCATATTGTTAAAGCTATTCTCTAAAAGAAACAGTAATCTTTCTGATGAGCATGGGGAACAATTTCTTCAATACCAGTCCAATTTATTTGGACCCTCTGATTGGTGCTTTCAGCTAGATCTCTAAGCACAATATTAATTATTCATTAAGGTACTTGAAGGGAGAATATTTGCATAGCCATACTGCAAAATTGATGAGGCTTTGCGTATGCACCATAGGAATCGCTTTAAACTTAGTGCTAAAACTAGAGATGATACTAATAAAATTGTTAAAAAAAATTATCTAAAAAGCCAACAATAATTTGAACTTTCTCATAACCACAGAACATTTAGTTTTATAGCACCCACATGTCCTATTGAGAGATCATGAAAATATTCTTTCTACAGCTGGTCATGTGGATATAGAATAAAAAAAAAAAAAATCCTCAAGAACCTTTGTATAATAAAAGGTCATAATGGGAATAATAGATAGTAAAAAGGGAGAAAGAGGTTTTCTGTGTGTGGGAGGAAAGAGTAGGGCTGACATTTAATGTACTTATCTCCACT